GTTTTGTATAGTGACTATTTTATGATGGTATGCAATTATTGTTTCGCACTATCCCTTTGTCGTTGTTTATTGTCTGGGTTAATTAGTTTCGCTTCCGCTTGCTTTTATTGTTGGGTGTTTCATTTGGGTCGGCGACGCGTCCTGGGACGTCGCGTTCAATGATCGACCACCAAGGGATGACCGCGCGCTCGTAGGGTGCGGGGCGTGACACCTTTTCTTTGCATGCATTTTGATTTAGCCGCCCACTTAATCATCTAACATTGTTTGATTAATAGTTAATGATAACGAGTTACCATTTGCATTCACAAAACGGCAACTCATATCGGTTAACCCCTAAAGTCAAGTTCTAAGTGACTACCGTGGGCTACCCGCCGAACACGCACCGGGCCTAACATACATCTAACAAACACATGCATTACAATGAGAAAAGCATGCATTCAGGCCCATGGACCTTGTTTCTCAATCAATCAAGCAATGGGAAGTGATCTTCATAGGAAGACCACTTATTCAACTATAATTGCTAATTCGGACCCCATTCTGTTTGAGTGTGGTTAACTGACTGAATGATGTTCAAATGAAATGATTCAGGTGTCATTAGAAATATAATTTCATGAGGATTAAAGTTCATGCAGACCAATTTTCCTAATTCCCCACCGATTTTCACGAAAATGACAGTTTTACTCTTGGAGACAATCTAAACCTGGTTCTGTTAGGGATTTCAAAATAATAGCGGGAAAAATAACAAACCTTATCCAAACAGCGTGAAAAGTTCTAGATAGTTAGGATTACCTATTTCCAACAACTTTTATGTTTTTAGTTTTTTTTGAAAAGTCCTTAAAATTTTTATAAAATTCGGTTTTCACCGAGAACTCGTTTGCAAATGGTTTTTGAGGCCAGGAAGACCTTATCTAAGATTTTTCGCAAATTGATCCCCTAAACATTGTTGTTAGATCCCCAAAATTTTCTATATACATAATAAAACCCTAATGGACAACTTTGTAGTTTTGAGTTTTCGCAAAAAAGGACTCAAAGTTTATCAAATTCGGAGAAACATGTTTTGGAAGTCAGTGGATGGAATTTCAGATCTGGACATAGAATATGATTAAATCATGAAAAATTCCTTTGAACATTCAAATGAAGCTCTAGATCTCAGTATGAACTTTTGTGTAGAAAAGTTTTCCAGATTTTGAACATACGATTTTATAAAAATCGAAAAACACATGAAGGTCGGTCAAAAACTCATCTATCACAGAGATTGAGTCTAAATGACGATGCTAATTGTCATAACCTAACACACTTGCAAGTGTATGAACATTTTATAGTAGACAGATCTGAGTGTGCTTTACAAATTTCATGAAGAAAGTTTTGTCAAATAACCAACACAGAAAATTAGAAAAATCATCCAACTGAGAAAGGTCATTTAGTATCACAGAAGAACAGAACATAACATGATCATGTTATAAATCATCATTGCAAGAAAATCACTTCGTAAGATGTATTCTAACAGAAGAACAGAACCTCTCAAATTAAGCTTAAGATGTATTCTACGACTTTATAGTTCATCACTTCGTAAGATTCTAACATTTCAGAGGTCAAATCATCATTGCAAGAAAATCAGGTCATCAGGATCCGAGAATCACAGATTTGAACTTACCTTGTGTGTTAACTCTTCAATGTACAACCGAGCAATTTGGCCTCCATATACAGCCTTAGGACACCACGGAGAAGCCTCGGAAAGCTCGACGATCCTCTGAAAGTAGAGTACACAAATCACGGGGAGAATCGGTCCGGTTTGATCAAATGAACGATCAATGGAAAATCAAGTAAAACGAAGTAATCCGGTGGCCGTGGTGGCCGTTTGGAGGGAGGCCGGCCACCACAGCCACGAGAGGACGCCACGGAAGGCTGTTAGGGGCTTGGGAATGCCGGAGGGAACCGTCGGCTAGCCGGTTTAGCCGTTTGAACCAGTGGCCGTGGTGGATATCAGTGTGGCGGCGGCGTGCCAGAACGTGGCTAGCAAATGGCCAGTGGAGTGACGGGAAGCCAGCGGCCTAGAGAGAGGGATGGAGAGAACATGAGATAGAGAGAGAAACCAGATCTACAAAAATGAGAGTTCTCTCAACTTTTGGAGGGAAAATCCTTATATACCTCTCCAACTTTGGATCATAGCCCTTGGATCAATCTAATGGCTCTAATTGTTTCTTTAATGATTAAGAATATTCCTTAGGGGCTAAGGATAAGTGACATGGCACTATGGATGGCCATGATCTATTCTAAATGAATGGCCATGATTGATTTGTTTAATCCTTAAGTAAGGGCATTTTAGTAATTTCTAACTAGGCGCATTATTGTAATTTCCATTTAAGGGCATATTTGTCATTTTGGGCACAAAGAGATGTGGCTGGCCAGAATGGACCGTCGATAGACGGATTTTTGATCGGAAAACGGCCGGTCTGATCGGACCTGTTCAATTTCGGTCAAACCGGGTTGAACCAGTTCAATTATTGGATCAATTTGGTTCTAATTTCATGCAATTTAATCCCTATTATGATTGATTGACCAAATTGAATTGAATTTGATTAAATTGATTGAACTAATTTGAAATACAAGCACAAATTGATCCAATTTAACTTGTTTAGCCCAATTGCTCTTCAATTTGAGTTAAATTGCGTGGCCAAGCTAGAATAATGAATTTAATTGAAGTCCAATTGGCCAAAATGAGCTTCAATTCATCAAATTGGATGTTAGTCTAGAATGGGTCAAGTTGAATTGCACTAATTAGACCAATTGCTCTTAGATTTCTCAATCATTGGATCACTAAATTGGTCAAATTGGCTCAAATTCATGTGAATCCTCCAAAATTGATTTCGGATTTGAATTGCATATAAGAAATTAGGCTCATTTGTGTCTCAATTGCGCAAATCATGAAGAACCGACTAGAATCACTGATTATGGCCTAAATTGGGGGTTTTCATCCTTGGCTTGGAATTCTAAAATTGACTTGGAAATTGAATGTAATACGACATCTAGATCAAATGTCGTGAAGGAAACCATCCAAAAACAATGACTAGAAAAGTTGATTCTAAACCGATTTTTGTAAAATTGATGATACCAAAGTTAAATTAAGCTAAAACTGAGTTGATTTAGGGATTTTGAAATTTTTGAATTTTTTTTGGACAAAGTGTTGACCAAAAGTCAACATAACATGATCATGTTAGCCCAATTTTTTTTAACCACCCGCCTGGGTGGCGCTGCTGGAAAGGGCACTCTTCCTCTCGCAAAAGGTTGGGTGTTCCAATCCCGGGCGCCGCAGGGTGACTTAACCGGTGCACGTGTATGGTGGCTAGCACGTGTCGCCCCCAGGGTTTACCTTCCGGCTGTCGGCCGTGCGGGGGTTCCCTGGGTTACCAAAAAAAAAAAAAAAGTCAACATTTTAATAGTTATGTACTAAAATGTCAATTAATGGGTCAAACTTTGAATTTTTTGAAAATTGATTGTGCAAAAGTGAAATTGACACTATTTTGGGGTTTTTTTAATGCAAAAAACCAAAATTTGACTTTGGGTTGACTTTTGGTCAAAATTTGACCAAAAAGTCAACACGAAAGTCAACTCTTTGACTTTTTGAAATTAAAATGAAAAAAGCTAGAAAATGAATGCCTAATGCTAATTCAAATGCTAAAGGACTCTTTTTGGCTGAAGATTGGGTGCCGTCACAATCAGAAACCCTAATCTCAAGATTTTTTACTTTTATGACACGTCGGTAAAAAAATCAGGTATCAGCAGCTGCCTTTTTTTGAAAGGAAGTTCAAAAATGTGCCTTTCAAAGACTAAATGATACCTAAAATTTTTAGTCGACTCCACCAGAGATAAAATGAAAATAACAAAATGAACGACATTTCATTAGAGGACGTACCTTTGAAACTTACCTTGAGCCTTAGTATTGATCTCACTATTGATGTTCTCATCTCTCTCTCGACCATGTAGCATGAATGGGAAGGAAAGATGCGAAAGGAAAAAAAGAGAGGTAATTTCTAAGAGTGGATTTTGATCGAAGGTAGGAAGTCTTACAGTGTAACAACGGGTTTCGACTCGAAGGGGAAAGTCTCACCATTCAATAATGGATATTGACTAGAGAAAGAATAGTCTTATCGTGTAACAACGGATTTCGACTAAAAAGAATTGTGATATTCTGAATTTCAATCCACTTTTGGGATAAATGAAATGTGTATATTCTTCAATGCACTTGTAGTTAAATCTCGCCTGGAACTGATCATTCTCGGGATACTAACCTTTAAGGAATGGCTACCTAGGGAAATGTACGTAGACCTAAGAACTCGACCATGAGTCGACCTTCGGTGACGATCGAGGTCGCCATGACTTGAGTAACCACAGGTCGATACGCGTAAACCCTAAAAAGCCGCCCGTTAGTCAGAGATACACTAAAGTCGCATTTGAGTGAAATTGACCGTCATTTGAATCCGAACTTGGATGGCGAATTTCTCGAAGTGTCACGACTAATTTATTTGGACGACGTCACATAAGCGTGGTCAACCTCGAGATTGCCCGGATTTGCCGGAAAGTGAAATTTGGATCGGGTGCGGATTTAGATCAGTATACCTCCCTCTTGGTTTATTTTATTTAGTGTCTATCTAGTCTTTTCTTTGATTTTGAAATTCGGAATTTTCGTGGCCCTTGGATCTAGCTTGCTCAACAAGACCAATTGTGAGCCCTTGGATTGCACTTGATTGATATATTGACTTTGGTCTCTCTCTCTCTCTCTCTCCTCCCTCATGCCTGTTGTTTTTCCCCTACACACTGGCCTCTTCTTCCGCGACGCCCACCCCTTTCCCTGCCGAACACCCCACGTTGTTGACCTCCCCATGCAGCTGCCATGATGGACTTTGCTTGCTGACTTCTGCTTTGCTGACTTTCTCCTTTTCCCATGTTGCTGCTATTTGCTGCTCCGCCCATGCCTCTGCTCTTCTGTTTTGTTTACTGCCTCACGCTGATGACTTCCTGCTAACCTCGTATTGCTGCTGTTGCTGCTTCTTCTTCTTTACTTCGGCTCCTTCGTTTTCTTCCATTTCTGCTTCTGTTTCTACTTCTGCTTCTGCTTGACCGCTGGCTTCTCCATTTCGGCTGCCCATCCTACCAGAAGCTAGCCCAAAACACCCACATTTCCCCTCTTACCCTCTCTCTTTCGGCCTCACGTCTTGCACCCCGACCACCACCAGCCCGTGCTCGTCCCAACCACTGCCATCCAGTCGCTGGAAAGCCGCCGGAGCCACCCGTCCAGCCCCGTCCGACCGCCAGAGCGGCTGCTGCTTGCTTGGCTTGGCTTTGTTCGGTTTCTTACTTAGGCATTCCTAGTAAGTGGCTTCCTAACCCTTGACTAGGCTAAGGGGTGACTAATGGACATGTTAGGGATGGTTTAAGGGCCGTGGATAGTTGGTTTAGTGGCTGGTTGTGCTTGGTTTGCTTGGTGGTGCTTGTTGGTTGATTTCCGGTAAGGTTGCTACTGCTTCACTGGATTTTGCTATTTTTTATGTGACTTTTGTGGGCTGGATTTGAGGAAGTGTTCTTCATGAAAGTTGTTCATAACATCTTGAAGTTTGACATAATTTAATTTGGAAATTTTTGGAAGTCATTTGAGGCCATTCATAAGTTTATCTTTGGACCGAAATAAGTCTGCCAGAAACACTGTTCCTCCGACCTTCGGGTCTGTTGGTATTTTTATAAATTTTTCCAGATCTATTTTGAAAATACTTCCTTCACAAAACTTGTTGGGGACATTTGTGGATATAACATATAAAAATTTCAAATCTTTCTAAGGAGATTTGGTTACTGCTTGAAATGCATTTTTGGCTACGAAGGTCCGGCTTCAAACCGTCTCTGAACCTCCGAGCCCTATCCAACGGGTCCTCCACCATCTTTGGGGCAAACTTAGATAACCGAGCAAATTCAATCTCATACTGATCCACTGTCCTCTGCCTCTGACGAAGCCTCATAAACTTGGCTAACTTTTGTTCCCGGGCACTCTCAGAAAAGTATTTACCATTGAAAACCTCCACAAACATCGCCCAAGTCTGGGCGGCACCAGCAGGGAACACCCTTCCTCTGGTGGCTTTCCACCAATCACTCGCACTTCCTTGGAGCTGGTACACCGCCAAGGTCACTTTCTCTTCCTCGGTGCACCCTAGCACCTCAAAGGCCTTTTCTAACTCCTCTACCCAAAGTGATGCAACCTCAAGGTCACCCTTACCATCAAACTTAGGGGGCTTTAATTTCAAAAACTGCTCAACTAGCTGATGCATCTGCCTATTCACATTCACTTGCCCTTGCCCTTGATTCCCATTGTTATTATTGCTGTCAACAGCCACAGCGGCCTCAGCAGCTTGGGCAATAGTGGCAGCTCGCTCCTGAGTCTGCCATCCTATCAGATTTCCGATCTCTTCTAGGGTCCTCATGACCGCATCCATTCTCGAATCTCCCGCAAGTTGGGCTTGTGAACTTGATTGACCTCTTAATCCTCTACCTCTCGAACTCATACTCCCGATTTTCTATCACTCACCTACATGCTATAATTCAATTTAGGAATTAGAGACCTAGGCCAACTATACCAGTCTAGTCCTAGGCAGCGAATTAGCACAATAATTCACTCAGCAGGTAATTAATCACAACAGCACCAGACCACAATCAATAAGGTCTGTGCACTTACCTTAGGTCCAGACGCACCTGCATTCCAATCGTTATAATACTCAATTCACTCAGCAATCACAACAAACAGTCTGGAGGTACGCGTAGCTCATTGCACACCTATGACTCGCTAAAGTCTCCCTAGATGACTGCCCCAGGGTCTCCGCTCCTTATCACTCCAGGCTTCGACCAACTTAGATCGAGTTAACCTTGCTCTGATACCAAATCAACAAGCGATGTCACGTCCCGAACTCCATCGAGCTCGCGACATCCCTCTTTGGTCGAATTAGTGCGACGTCCCAGGAAACGCCGCCGACCCAAACCAACACATTAGAGATAAGGCACTAGCGAAAGCCACAAAAACCCGGACAATATTTAACTAGGGGTAAAAGGGAGAATATACATATATTCATTACCAAGTCAAACTTATACAATACCCACCATTTGCAATCCACATAATATACAAGCACACCGAGCTTCTAAGGTTTACACCATCGATATTAAAAAGAGGTCAGTAGTCTGGGAATACTCTAGCTCCAAAAATGGGACACTTCAAAAGGTTCACCCTACCCCTAAACTAGCCCCTACGCCCTCTAGATGGCGTCCACTCCGAGTCAGACTCCCCATAACCCGAGTCTGAATCCCCCTGAGCTACCTGCTCCTCTGAGGACTCAGAATCCGCCTCGATCTCAATCGGGTTGTCCTCATCACCCGACTCTAATGGAACCTCAATCCGCTCCTCCTCTTCAGACTCCTCTTCTGGCTCTTCCTCTGGCTCATCCTCTAGTTCTACCTCTGGAGCTTCTTCTGGTTCTTCCTCTAGTGCTTCCTCAGGTTCGTCATTTGGTTCTTCTTCGGGCTCTTCTTCGGGTTCCTCCTCTGGCATTGCACCTAGATCCACATCCATTGGATCATACCCTGCCTGTGATTCTTCCGGCTTCGGATCAGGCTCAGCCACTGAAGGTTCGGGTGCTACAGGTACAGGCTGATGTCCTGACTGTGCAAGGCTAGTATCCAGACTAGTCATCTCATCATCAGGAGGGGGTATAGCTGACGGATCCCAATCCCCCACTCCGTCAAATGGGACATCAAAGCCTCGAACAGGACCGAACTTGTCCAGTCCATCCCGAAAACACCAGGCTGTATAGGTGTGGGCCTGCCAAAGGGGTTGCCCTATATCTACCCAGACTACTGTAGTATGCTTAATTCAAGTCATATTCTCATCTATCGGGTACTCTACAACTGCGTGGTCGGTGTGCATCGGTATACCAAAACACTGAGGCGGTGGCGGTGGAAGATTAATGGTCCAGGCCGGGGTTCTGAAATTGTTGGGTTAAACAACCATGAGACACGTCTCAGCAAGTAAACACCCTAAACCCCATCTAGGCTAACACGTACCTCCAGACAAGTCCAAACACAATAACACGCAACAAGCACATAACAGGCACACAATTGCACTTACCTTGGCTTTTAATGCGTACAATCTGCACGTTAGTCTCAATTATACAAATCTCAACCACATGCACATTCCAAATCAGTTTCATGCCCAAAACACAAGTCGAACATATGACATTTCCAATTCCACATTTCACATACTCGTTCATGCCTCACCTCCCTATTTTCATTAAACTTGCCCACAACCCGCGTTATTATGCATCAGGTCCACTTTCAACCCACGGTTCACATCTGACCGTCTCAAATTCACAACACTCCTTAGCCCGCGTTACAGTACACGCCTCAGGCTCAACATCCTCCACCTACGGCACAACCCACATTACAGTACACGCCTCAGGTTGGCGGTCTTTCGGCAATACCAGGCATCGTCCCGCGTTAAAGTACATGCCTCAGGACGGCTCAATTCCCCGCGTTACACTACACGTCTCAGGGATTTTCGTGACCACACGCACGACATATCACATAAATTTTTCACCCGTTCGCTCGCTCGAACATTATACGAACATGCCAAATTACCAATCGATCCAATTCAACCTATGCACGCGTCAATTCTCACACATTTCACATGTTCAATTGACACACAAATATGCCAAATTCCCAGCCAATCCAATTCAATTCGCACGTGCACAATTAACTCGAATTTTTGCATTTTAAGCTAAATTTCACCATTCACGGGCGTCGTACTCCTACCGACAACCCCCAAACCAACACGTACTATATCTTAATCACCAATATGCACCAATTCGCCCACAGGATGAACAGTGATTCGGCCACCACCAAAAATCACTATAACGGCACATTTAGGCCCGTTTTTCACGTAATAAGTCACAATAATCATTCGTAACCATTCCAATCACAAAATCAATCAATTCTAACCTCCAATCCACCTCAAAAATCATCACAATTTCATCCCAACAACTCAGCCAAAGCAGTCCAACCATTCCTCTACGAATAACCCCTAAAACTTGCTAAAACGGGCCCGAACTAACCCGAAAATACCCGTTATCCTAGGCGAGGGTTAGGGTATCACTTACTTGTGATTCCTATGCGAAATCGAGGCCTCAACGGTGGCTGCACAGAGAGCAAACAGCAGCGGCGGCGGCGATAAGCGGTAAGGGTTACCAGCAACTCACCGGCGGTCACGAGCGGCGGCGAGTGGCGGCGATTGGCTGCTGGCTTTCTTGGCTGCTCTTGGCTGAAAAAGGGTGGCTGGTGATGGTGTTTCGGTGAGGGGAAAAACAGGGAAGAGAGAGAGGGACGGCGGTGGTGATGGTGGTGAGACCGCGGCTTCAAGGACGACTGGACGGCGGCGATCCTTCACGGCGGTTGCACGGCGGCGATGGGTATGGCCGGCTGGCCACTTCACGGTGGGAGAGAGGGAAAGGGGGAGGTCGGCCGAGAGAGGGGTGAGGGAGAGAGAGATTGCCGTGAGAGTGAGAAAATGAGAGGGAGAGAGAGAAAATGGAAAGAAATAGGCTAAATGGCAATAATTGGTGTCTAACACCCTTGCCAAATGACCATCCTACCCTCCTCTCTATTTCCAAATCAACGGCCACGATTCAATCTTATCCTAAGATTGACGGCCAAGATTAATCCTTACCAAAAATATCCAAGGGTGAAATTGGAATTTCACAAAATTTCCAAGGGCAAAATTGTCCAAAAATTTTCATCTCTAAAGTTGGTGTGAAATGACCAAAATGCCCCTTTCACATTATACTTGGCCTTAACAAAGTCCCAGGAGTAAAACGGTCATTTTCTATTTCTTGCCAAAATTCGAATTTTCTGAAGAATCCGGACAAATCTGAGGCTAACCGAGCTAATAACAACATCGTCCAATTATCTTGTCGTGACCTTCATAATTTCCAATACCCAAACTTGGTCTCTAATTAATGATCCAATTTAAATAACGTAACTTGAGCGTATCTCAAACTAACGGGTGGCTTTTGGGGAAATTCGCACATTCAACCCGTGGCTGATACTGAATCAAGCCACGTTTAAGTTCACTCGGGTCGTGACGACCTCGATTGTCACGTAATCGCGAGGATCGACCGCTAGTTCTGACGGGCGCGATCGTTTGGTATAGGTTTAGGGTCATTCGTCAACTCATCTCGTGGTCAAGCGGAATCACCCGCGATCCACTCGTATGACAGCGGCGAATTGATCCCTAACTATTCTTGGATCAGCCTACATTGGCTCAAAACGTCACCTCGACAATTTTCATGGTCGAGAGTCAGTTCACGATCGAGTTTCTTTGGTCGCGCGAATTTAAAATCCCTAATTAGCCATTCCCTATTGGTTAGTATCCCAGGAGTGATCAGTTCCGGGCAAGATCTAACTACAAGCACGTCCAGAAAATCGTCTATTTCATAAATCCCAAGTGGGTCGGATTTCAGAATGTCACATGAGTGCCCCTTTTTGTAGAGGAGTTAAGCTTACCAACCACCCGATCCTTGTTGTTGTGCGTGGTTCGTAGATAGTGACCTCGTAGAAGGCTTGCAAATGTATGTGTTGTAATCAATGTTATGTTTATAAAAGTGTCTTGTTGATGTGTATTCTTTGTCTCTCTACTATCCCATTGTTTATATGTTGTACGGAGAGTTCGAGGTTGCTTCCGCATGCGTTACTCGTTAGTGTTTCGATTGGGTCGGCGACAAGTCCTGGGATGTCGCATGCTTGACGACCCCAGATGGATGTTGCGTGCTTGTTCGGGTTCGGGGCATGACAAGAATAGTCTTACCATTGTAAGAAATGGGTTTCGACTAGAAAGGGTGGTCTCATAATGTAACAACGAGTTTTGACTAAAAGGAGTAGTCTTACCATTGTAAAAAATGGGTTTCGACTAAAAGGAGTGAATCAATCATGGCTACTAACATTCACCACCTCGATTTAAAAAAGAATGGTCATGAGTGCGAAAGCACATCATATCGATTTGAAGATTGTACGGGCACGAAAGCTCACCATACCTAATTGAAAGGGAATGGTCATGAGTGCGCGAGCACATCATGCCGATTTGGAAAGGGAAGAGGATAATGAAAATCCGCTCTACTTGGGGAATTTTGATTTTAGAAAGACTGCAAGCTGCAATTACTTGGATATTGAAGATCTGAAGCTACTAACATGCAATCACTTGGAAAGACTATTAAACGGGAAGCATTCATGGTTGCATAACCAAGAAATTCCATCAACTTTTGTGACAACATGAAGACTTTGAATGTCATTCAAATAATTGTCAATCAAACTCTTGGTAAATGCCATCAATCTGTCAAAATTCTTGTAGAGGAAAGCTTTGAACAAAATGATTTCGATATCTTCAAAAGGGTTTGTTAAAAATGCCAAGTTGAAATACCTTAATCGAAAAGGTCTTCTTACCATGGCTCTCATGAAGGCTTTTATTCCCATCCGTTAATGTGGGATTTTAAGTTCGATCATTGAGGATATCTCACATAACCTAAGCCAAAGGCTTTTGGAAATATTCGCACCGAATACAACTTGATCAATCAAAAAAGTCTTTTGAAGGACCGTAATGCATGCTTGGTCATGGGCTTACGCAAAGGATTATCGCTTTGAGGCCAAGAAAGGATTATCAAATAATATCTTCATCGGGTTTACAAGTCAAGAACCTTGAAGATAAAACAAGATAGAATTGCTTCCACTCCTTCAAGCGGTAGCTTCTTTGAGAAATCTTTACATTGACTCAAACCATCTCAATCGAAAGAGACTTCGGAGAGAGGTGTAATGTCGGTTTGGGTTAGGCTCAAAAGGCTTGAAATTTTGTAGAAGGGTTTGAAAAAGATGGTGATTATCTTGGCATCATTACCAAATTATCTAAATTTGACATCATTTGACTCTTGGAAACCAATTTGTCTCGAGAGCCCATTGTCTAATCATTTTTCTTGTAATAAGAGCTTTGCTCTTTCTAAGCATCTTTTACAATTGGAATTTTGTTTTCATCATGAGCATATTGCTTTTTGCTTTTGCTTTTGATGCATTTTTTTTTCATGGGCATTAGCCCTACTTTTACCAAGCACACTGCTTTTTCATGCCCTCTAGTATATATCATTTGAGCTCTTAGGACTTTTGAGTCACTAAACATATTTCACCAATTTTTTCAAAATTTCTTGGTAAATCATATGCATTTCCCCAATGTGGGGAGATAATCACCATTTGGGCTTTGAAGTGAACATGCTAAAGGATCAATTTGGCTAAGCAAGGGATGCAAGTGTTTCGGTAGAGAAATGAATGGTCTTCTTCACTTTGGGATGCTTCAAGCTTCCATAAAGATCCACATGAAGTTACCACAAAAAGATTGATGCAAGTGAAAGCAATGAAATCTTTCTTAATCTATTTGCTCCAAAAATGATCACCCATAACCTCCTAACTTGCCCCAATATGGGGTGGTTCTTGACAGGGGTATTTTGAAAATTCCCCATATTTGGCTCAAGGTGGCTAGCAAGGGATAAAATGAGTATTTAGGTTAAAGAAGTAAAATGCCTTTTATCACTTCAATACATATTGTTACGGCTAGTGTTATCACTTAGAGGGGGGTGAATAGGTGATTTTATAAAATTGTAT